GAAAGAAAGGAAGGAAGGAAGGAAGGAATGAAGGAAAGAAAGAAAGAAAAGAAAAGAAAAGAAAAGAAAAGAAGGAAAGAAAGAAAAAAGAAAAGGGAGGGAGGGAGGGAGGAAAGAGGAAAACACACAACAGAGGCACACTAGTCAACCCTCCCAAAAATCTCATCCTTTTGCGAACCTGGAAAAAGCAAACCATTAAAAAAAACAACACACAATCCGAAATTTTAATACCAAAAAATGCAAACGATTAAAAAACAAACCAACCCAAAAGGCCTCCTTAGAGAAGGAGATCTTGCCCTCTGGGTGGCAAAAGCAAAGAAAGAGTTTCCAACAAGGGAGGGGGCTGTGTGATGGGGGGGCGCAGGAGGGGAGATCACGTGACCCTCCCTCGCTTCTACGCCCAACTGGGGGAACCTGTGTGTGTGTTTAGTCGTTTAGTCGTGTCCGACTCTTCGTGACCCCATGGACCAGAGCACGCCAGGCCCTCCTGTCTTCTACTGCCTCCCGGAGTTGTGTCAGGTTCATGTTGGTTGCTTCGCAGACACTGTCCAGCCATCTCATCCTCGGTCGTCCCCTTCTCCTCTTGCCATCACACCTTCCTAACATCAAGGTTTTTTCCAAGGACTCTTTTCTTCTCATGAGATGGCCAAAGTACTGGAGCCTCAGCTTCAGGATCTGTCCTTCAAGTGAGCATTCAGGGTTGATTTCCTTTAGAACTGATAGGTTTGTTCTCCTTGCAGTCCAGGGGATTCTCAAAAGCCTCCTCCAGCACCACAATTCAAAGGCATCAATTCTTCGGCGGTCTGCTTTCTTTATGGTCCAGCTCTCACTTCCATACATCACGACAGGAAAAACCATAGCTTTGACTATTCGGACTTTTGTTGGCAAGGTGATGTCTCTGCTTTTCAAGATGCTGTCCAGATTTGTCATCGCTTTCCTCCCAAGAAGAAGGCGCCTTTTAATTTCAGGGCTGCTGTATCCATCTGCAGTGATCATGGAGCCCAAGAAAGTAAA